GGGGGGGGGGGGGGCGAAGAAGAGCTCGGTGTTTTTCGCGACTGTCGCGCCTCGCGAGTTCATTCGCGCGGCTTTTGTGGCTGTTTAATTATGGCGTCGATCGATGCGCCACGTTGGGGAATAATTCAGCGTCCCGATTTCAGGACGGGGGCCGGAGGGGGCGGCGGGAGACGATCTTATTTTGGCAGCGGGAGCGCGCTGTGAGGACGACGACGACGTGTTGCAGCATTTACTCTCGTCGCTGAGAATTTTCTGTCGTCGACTACGTGTCTGTATGTGCGTATATGTGGAAAATCTCCCTCAAGTATTAATGGCTGCTTCGTTCGTACCTATTTGACGCGAGAAATAAAGTCGCCGATTCGCGCCATTATATAAATCATAAATCGTCGCGCGCCCTCAATATTGCGCGTTCAATCCGATTAAGCGCGCGACGTTCATCTTCGTTGCCCTCATTTCGCGTTCTCGCGTTTACGATCGGCCCGATCGCACTGACAGTCGTCGTCGGGCGGCGAGCGCGATCGCGAGCACAATCAGTGACGAGAAGACTTTGCGCAACGCGCTTCTCTTTGTCAACGGCTGCTTGACGCGTTCGTATCTCGCGGGAGAGAGCTCGCTCGTTTCTTAATCATCATCTCCGAGAATGAATTTCCCTGCTGAGTGCCGGACGCGCGCTCGTAGTTGGTCGAAGGGGAGGCTCGTCTGCGCGACCTTCCCTCCACCAATGAATACTGCACACAACGCGTGCCACACGAGGGATGATGACTCGACGGTTGTCCGCGGCACAACCAACGATCCCCGAATGTTCGCGAATGCGCGATCAGCATGTATAAAATATTCCTGTGTGACACGGGAAAAGGGAGGAGGAGGAGGTGGGGTGGCAGCACGTCAACGACTGGCTGAGTTCGGTTATTTTCGGCCGGAAGAATTGGCGCGCGACACTCGAATCCCGTGCGAACCTATCCGCGGACCTACATGCGGTGGTCCCACAGGCGGGGGACTTATTAACCTCGAGCTCGCGACTTCAATTCTCGGACAACAGCGAGAAAAGCCATCCTAATTTCCGCCGACGCGTCGCGGCGCGCCTCGCGCGTAATTAAGCCTCAATAATTCAATTTGCGCGCGAGGGACGGAAGTATCGCTTTGGAAATTGGACGGAATTGGCCTGTCGAATGCCTCCTTCCACCCCCTCCTCCTCTCCCTGTGCTCGAAGAGATTTTTACCCCGTGCCACACACACATACACACACACATGTGTGCGTGTCTGCGTGCGTGCGTGTGCGCGCGCGCGGCTATGAATTTTCCTTGCTTACACACGCGGGCTGTCGTCGTCCCGCGCGCCCTCTACTACCCTTCCGTCTCGTACCACCCTGTACGTACGCGAGACACGTACGTAACAGTTGTTGCGAAGCGGCGTGTGTGCGTCGTAACAGAAAGCCGGTTCCCACTGAACACCCCGTTACTACGTCTACGTGATGGAGAGAACGAGGGTTTAGAGCTCGGTAGGAGAGAAAGAGAGAAAGAAAGGGAGGGTAAGAGGGACGAGGAGCCCCGCGGGGTTGGAGAATAGGAGAGAGACTTCGCGTGGCGTGCGTTGTGCGCGGCCTACATACATGTACGGGGTGTCCCGAGTGTACGTATGGCTCAACCGCGTCGTTCTCGTTTCGAAACCGCGGCGGGTTTTTTTCTCACGGTGGACAGTTGGCAAATTACGATGGTAATCTCGATGGTTTGTGCAATTTCCTGGACGAACAATGCGAGAAAGCGCCGTCCCTTGGATCCTTGTTTCTCGGCTGGGCTGCGAAACTCGTTTTGGGAGATTGAACGTTTCAGCAGCGCGCCGACGAAGAATCTGTTCTCTTTTCGGAAATGCTCAATTAGGGCGACGCGCGCGGCTATTCAAAATCGTTCGAACCTCGGCCGCGATGAGAAGCGAATCGGCG